TTCGATCTAAATAATTTATTAATTAAATTTTAACAAATTATACTCAAATTGTAACTATTTTTTTTTTTAAAATAATCACTTAATTTCTTTAATATTTATATAAAAATATATAAATAATTTTGATCGAATATAAGTGTATCTAAATCAAAATTTGACATCAACTCAAATTACGGTGGCCAACTGCTAAACTCGAAGGAGTAGTCGGCTCAAGCCTGGGTACCCTATAGCAATAGAAAAATAAAATCTAAATTCGAAAACTTTAAGATATTAAATTTGGAGTCGGGTTTAAATTATCAAAAAAATAATAATAATTTATATCCGATTATTAATATTCGGATCAAAATTCGATCCATTCGAGCCTAATTGAAACATAGGAGCCAATGGCCCACTGTGATACATCTGTTTATATATAAAACCATACCCGACCAATTCAAAAGGTCTCTAATTTGACCATTTCACCAAATTGGCAACAATGTGCATGGCACTATTCAGTGTTGCTTTGTTCAAAATTTAATCTTCAGCTCTCGAACATTGCTCCTCAAATTTTTTTACCATGCCATCTATCTAATCATTTATGTTGCCCTTTTTCGGATTTAGATTCACTTCATTACATTTTTTTTGTATTTTTTTTTCAATATTAGATCACACGGTGTAGATATTTTGTCCGGTCTATTATATTTACATGTTGTGTTTTATTATTAAGGGAATTAAAAGAAAACAAACCCTAGATAATTATAATATAATTCTGGTGCATCTTAAAGGATGAGGTCCTGAGGATTCCTAATTGAGCGGGTCAATTCAAATTTCTATATTATATTCGTTCACACTACCGTCAAATTTTTAATTGTCAATTGCATGTAGAAAACAACAACTTGGCTTGTGTTTTGTTTTTAATTTTTATTTTCAATGATTTATTTATTTTTTAATTTGGTGAATTTTGGAATTCAACTCTCTTTTTGAAAAAGTTACCCTTAAAATTAATTAATTTTAGAGTCGAATTCCATATAAAATTTGAAAATATTGAAAATCTCATACTCTATCACGTAAAGAAGCAGAAAATTTTATGAGTTGCCATCATTTTCAACTCGTCCTTACCTTTTAGTTATCATAACATGAGGACGAGCAGTCGAATATGATCTTTGTTCATATACACTATTGTAGAGCTATAAGAATAATACCCTTTTATGTCCTTCACTTTCATGTATAGGGAAATATTTCCATCTATGAAATTCCTTAGTCACGTACGCCTGCTTTCAAGTTACTACTATAAAGAGTTAGTTTGATCCTGACCATACTCGACTATCTTATATGTCTTTGATGTCACTCCCACGTCTTTCTTGGTTGGACCAACACAACCAACCATGTCCTCGTGAAATAGGATAATAAGAACAAGTTTCTCTTTTTTGGGTGAGAGCAAAGCATCCAAAGAATAAATATAATTATGAATATTCTTAATCCCTCAAAAGTTATTTTCAATATATGTGTATGTGCACGGGACGGAATCGAGATCTGAACTTAAGGGGAAGGGGGAGGGGGAGGGGGAAACAATGACATATATTTAAGAATTTTATTCAACCGGTTATTTAACAAATTATTATGAATGATGAATTTTTAGTCATACAAAACATATCAAAACCAACTTTCATACGACACGACACTGTTAAATTATTATTTTGGGTCATAAAATCCAATAATTAGGTTTTTATCATCATAAAAATTGGTTTGTGTCCTCTTAAAAAAGAAAATCAAGTATTAAAGTTTTTCCATTGAATACGTTTTCAACAAAAACTTTAGTAATTTAAGCACCGTAATGCGCCACTGATGGCGCCACGAGTTATATGAGAACTGATATACACCCATCATTCTCTTGGCCAACATCTATTGGAACCACCGTTATATTATACATAAAATTATATATATATATCACTCAAGTCATTGAATTATGCTTTGCGTCAATTGAACCATAAATTATACAATTTAATTTAATGTGACCATTTGGTCCAAATTTACGATTAATTTTGACAAACATCTTCACGTGCATGCACGTGAACTCTGATTTTGAGGAAACGAGACAAATTGAATACTAAAAATGTAAAAAAAACATTTTTTTGCTTCTTAAAAAATATTTTCTGGTGTAATTTTTTTCCCAATAAAAAATATATATAAAAAAAAGAATTCTATGCCAAAATTTGACATAATAATATTCGAAAAAATTGTTACCAAAAAGATACGTAACAAAACTTAATAGACACACTACATGAGTGTAGGGCCCCACGATTGAAATTTGTATTTGTCGGCTGGCAAAGTGGCACACGTTGTAATTTGGTCGGAAAAGTGAAACATAAGCCAATTGTGACCTGGTTTTTGAGTGGATCCGGCTCCCCCACATTTCTTGTCTTAAAGTGGTGGGCCAAGTCAAATCGATGGTTAAGGTGACAGCTATTTTGAGCCGAGCTTGGTCAATAAACTACTACTTCATTGCAAATAATTAAGTGTGCAACCAAAACTGATTTTAATAAAAGAAAATGTTAATTACACTTAAAATATTAATTTATTTTATTTACTTAGTCAACTATAATTATTAAATAGATAATAAATATTAAGAATTACAGTTAAATTAAAATTTATGATTGATCAAACCAATAAATAAAATTAATATTTTAAGTCTATGTAATATCGCCTTTTAATAAAAAATTTTAAATTGGCCACAACTCAAAAAACAATAATTTTATTATTATTTTTTTGTTTTTGGAAATGGTTCAGATCACATTGTTGGGTAATTTATAATATATATACAATTTTTTTTTAATTTACACTTAACCAGTTACTCTAGCATATAGTAAGGATTAGGTGGAGACTTATAAACACACATAAGGGTGTTCACCCTACCCTACGAGTATAAATTATTTTTTTTCGTCTTTCTATTCGATACTTTGCAGAAGAATTTTTTTTCTGTCTACCTACCAGATAAAGTGTGATATTCTTACCCGACTTCCTACTCGAATAATTGGATAGGAAGTCGGGTAGGAAATCGGGTAAACACTTTTGTAGCTATTAATTTTTGGATCATTTTAACAATTCAATTAAATAACATGCACCAATTTAACAACATAATAAATCAATAACACTAAAATCTAAAACAACTACAACAACAATTACAATAAAACATAAGAAAACATGAACATCAATCTATCATAATTGTTACACAAATACAAACAATTATTTTAAGTTTAAACCATATGAAACACATTAAAATCATAACTGCTCCAAATAGTTCACCACAAATCATGTAACCTACACAAAAAAAAGTCTATATTTTCGCAACTTAAACATCCACAACAATAATAATGTTATAATATAAATTATACCACATAAAATACTCTTATAATTATTTTAAAAAATATAAAAAATTTAAATATATTTTTTGCGGGTAGAGTAAGGTAGTAATGCGAAAATTGATAGTTATTCCACATTCTTACCCGATTTAATCGGAAGATCAAAAATTCTTCTGCATTCCTACCCAATTTTTGCGGCTAGCTATTAAATAAGGTAGAGTTGAGTAGGGTAGAAAATTGCAGGCAATCGAAAATTTGAACACCCCTAAACACACACACACACACCCAAAGCTACCCAATGTGGGATAGTCAAGTCCCCCGACACCCCTGCGTAATTACCATAACCGTAGGACCTAACGACCCAAAGTGTGGGATTCCAGCCCAACACCGAACGCCCCTTTTAAATTTGATACCTAAAGTTTTATTTGGAATAATCAAGTGAAAAGGTAAATCACAATTTTTTTTCAATAGTTTCGGTTAGTTTGAAGTGAAAATTCTTTCAAAATATTTCAAATTTTATAACATTTCCAACACCTCATAAAATTTTTGATCCTTCACAATGATTTTTTTTTAGTTTTTGGTAATGAGTAGAAATCTCCAATTTGTCCTCGATGAGTACAAGCTTGAGTGACCATGTAAAATCGTAGGCAAACTTCAAGTGTATGAATTAATCTTTTAACTTATATACCAATTAAATAAGAACTTGCATTTTGGTGAAGAATCGAACTCACATCACAGACTTGAATATGATTCATCCGAACAACTAAAGTTCATTCCACCTAAGAATTAATCACGTTTTTTATCGTCTAAAGGACTTGAATTCTTGATATCAAAGAAACAAAACATTCACAAAACAAAATTAATTGAATTAATCTTTATAAATTTTTGGTCTTATAAATTTTTTTTTATAACTTTGCCTAAATTAAAATTTTCATATCTATCACATAAACCACTTAAATTTATCATATCTAATTTTTTTTTTGTATTTTTTTACCTTGTTTTTTTTTATCTACACAACAAACAATAGAAGACAATACATGAGTTTACTCATCGGTCCTTATTCGATTAACCGGTAAAGGTTATAAGTCGAGTCTTTGACCAATTGAATAAAAAGGTAAATCTTATTTTATCTCTTTAAAGATATAAAAAAAATTTAATTTATTCCTTATTGATTAATTTTTTCACAATCAAACAAAAATAAGATAATAAAATTTATTATAAAATTTTTATTTTTTTAAAAAATAATGTAAACAAAATTAAGTATTCGGGAATTAATCGAGAATTTTTATATCTTATGAGAAGTAAAATGAGAGTTTACCCAGTCGCCTACTCTTCAATCGGGCATACCTAAACCTCCATCTGAAAAGAAAACGATCAAAGAGGTACAAAGGTACCAACCAAACCCTCATCAACTCTCTGTCTCTCCCCACCTCCCCAACATTATTTCCACCGTATCCCACCCAAATACCAGTTTGTTCTCATCAACCTCTCGAATCTTTCAACGAGTTCGAATTCATCGACTATACTTATCTTTTGTTCATCCCCATAATTGACGATCCGGAGAGAGAGAGAGAGAGAGAGAGAGGGAGAGAGAGGTTAACTATATGCAAATCTGGCCTCTCTGCAACTCTATAGTAATTGTGGAAGAAGTCCGCTGCAACGTTAATGGCGGACATAGTGAAGCAGATCTTAGCAAAGCCCATCCAGCTAGCCGACCAAGTGGTCAAAACAGCAGACGAGGCGTGTTCGTTCAAGCAAGACTGCACGGAGCTCAAGTCCAAGACTGAAAAACTCGCCGCCCTCCTCCGACAGGCGGCGCGTGCCAGCAACGATCTCTACGAGCGTCCCACACGCCGGATCCTCGACGACACCGAACAAGTCCTTGACAAAGCCCTTGCCCTCGTCCTCAAATGTCGCGGCAACGGCCTTATGAAGCGGGTCTTCATGATCATCCCGGCGGCGGCCTTCCGGAAAATGTCGTCCCAGCTCGAGAATTCCATCGGCGACGTGTCGTGGCTCCTCCGAGTCTCCGCTCCGGCGGAAGAACGCGACGATGGGTATTTGGGCCTCCCTCCTATCGCAGCCAACGAACCGATTCTCTGCGTCATATGGGAACAGATCGCGATTTTGTATAATGGATCAGTTGATGATCGATCCGATGCTGCGGCGACTCTGGTTTCGCTTGCTCGGGACAATTTTCGGTACGGAAAGTTGATCATTGAAGAAGGTGGGATTGGACCATTGTTGAAGCTGGTGAAAGAAGGGAAATTAGAGGGTCAAGAGAACGCAGCCAAAGCAATCGGACTACTGGGACGTGACCCAGAAAGCGTCGAATACATGGTCCATGCCGGTGTGTGCTCAGTGTTTGCGAAAGTCCTCAAAGAAGGTCCAATGAAGGTTCAAGCTGTGGTGGCCTGGGCTGTGTCAGAACTCACTGCCCATTACCCCAAATGTCAAGATCTTTTTGCCCAGAACAATATTATTCGATTGCTTGTGAGCCATCTTGCTTTTGAGACGGTTCAAGAGCATAGTAAGTATGCGATTGTTACCAATAAATCTAACTCGATCCATGCGGTTGTGTTGGCCAGTAACAATTCAGATGCGAACAATAGAATCAACGACGGGAATGAGGATGATGAGAGGAGTCTCACGCCTCATCCATTGGGGAACAAACAGGCCTACAAAATGCACGATGTAGTCACTCGAACTATGGCAATGAAGAACCAATCCACAATACCTCAAGGGCCAAGCAATGGGGTGAAAGTGAACCAGACCAATAACGCCAAGACCGACGTCAACAGCAACACGAAACAAACTAATCGGAACCACCACCACCGCCACCAACCGAGTATTTCGCTTGCCGGCACAAGCATTAAAGGTAGGGAACAGGAGGACCCGGCTACAAAGGCCTACATGAAAGCTATGGCTGCAAGAGCCCTTTGGCACCTTGCCAAAGGAAACTCACTCATTTGCCGTAGCATCACAGAATCCAGAGCTCTGTTATGCTTTGCCGTTCTCTTAGAAAAAGGACCCGAAGAGGTTCAATACAACTCTGCCATGGCGTTGATGGAAATCACCGCAGTGGCAGAGAAAGACTCTGATCTGAGACGAGCAGCGTTTAAGCCCAATTCGCCTGCTTGCAAAGCCACAGTTGATCAATTACTCCAATTCATTGAAAAGGGGGATTCAGAACTACTTATTCCTTGCGTTAAGGCAATTGGGAATTTGGCTAGGACTTTTCGGGCCACAGAAACAAGGATGATCAACCCATTAGTAAAATTGCTGGATGAGCATGAAGCTGAGATTTCTAGGGAAGCTTGCGTTGCCCTCACTAAATTCGCCTGCACCCATAACTATCTCCACCTAGATCACTCCAAGGCAATCATAAACAATGGAGGGACAAAGCATTTGATCCAGCATTTGTACTTTGGAGAACAAGGCGTTCAAAGTTCTGCATTGGTTCTCCTCTGCTACATTGCCCTGCACGTACCAGATAGCAAAGAACTCGCACAAGCTGAGGTGCTCACAGTGCTCGAATGGGCGTGGAAGCAAGCGTTCTGGATCAAAGATGAGAAGGTAGAGACATTGTTACATGAGGCAAAGGGGAGATTGGAGCTCTATCAGGCCAGAGGAGGAGGAGGAGGAGGTTCCAGGAGATACAAGTGATTTGTTCAATGTGCACACTAGTCACAACTGTTTGTTGTTAGAGAAAATTTCTTTGTTTGTTTTTGTCATTGTTATGGAGAGTAGTTGTAGTACATACATTAAATTAGCTTGTTGTATGTCATTGTTCAACAAGAATTTCCAGTTGATTGACATTCTTCTACTTGATCCTTGATGTTCCTTGTTAACATTCTTTTTGAAATTTACAAAGTGTGCTGAATATTGATTTATGGACTGTTTCATTATTTATTTTTCTCTTTTCTGTTTAGCATAAGGACCATAGGGACTTTATTTCCACTATGATACAATGCATTTCTCATTCATGATTAGTATATGGGAGACCATTTAGCATATCTATTATAGAAGAGTGATATGTTGTAGTATTGGCATGAGACAGATATACCACGACACATTGGTGTGTGGATGGGTCGTGGCTAGTTATGTTGGCTCATGAAGTGTCTGACCTGACCGATGAACAACAATATCGAAAGTAATTTAGTAACAAAAATATCATTCTATTCTTCTGTTAACAGTAAGTTATAAAAAGTATTGAGTAAATTACACACCCTTGAACTCAATTTTGCTTCAATTACACGATTGAACCTTAATTTGTTCACCAACTAGCGATGAAAATCTGGAGATGATATTTTTCACCCAGATCAAGTGTATTGCTTATTTATTCATTGGGATGCACTCTTTTTTGTTATCCCATAAATTGAAGTTTTGTGTCGATAAAATTTTATATTCCTTGACTGAATTAAATAATGTAAGTTTTTTGTTGTTTTCTGCATTATTTAATCCATTGGGTTGCATTACAATAAATTTTTAATTTTTTTTAATCATAATGTGATCAACAACACAGCCAACATTATTCAATATAGAACTGCATTGTGGTGGTGAATTTTTGTGTATTCCAAAGAAAGATTCTCTATCTCTTTGTGTTCGTTCTGCTCATTTTAAAGAACAAAGTCACGCAGTGAACCTAATAATAATAATAATAAGGCTAATTTAATTACGAACCAGAGGCATCATAAAAAATGCGAATTGCCAAAGACAATTTAAATTTCTCGTCCTAAAAAAATTGTATATATAGCAATCCCTTAGTCAGAAGGTCTAAAATGTATATACATTTGTTATAGTGGGGGCATGTAGTAACAACCACAGGAGGGTTAGCTAGGAAGTTATCATTTTAGGGTCATTGTTTTGGTCTTACATATATACCCAAGATTCTGCATATAAACTTTAGATATGAGATTCAGCACACGCCAATGCGGGTCGTTACCCAGCATATGTAAAAATTTATGCCCTATATGTAGTGAAAGATAATGCTTTACCAAATCAGCTTTGGGCTTGGAAAACATATCTCCAGTTCGGGCTAAGACACTTTTAGTGTTAAAGTTATATACACCCATACCCATTAAGATCATTAAGAGAATAGAATTGGAGAATTTGGAGGCCGATCCCCCCTTTCGTAGACTTATGTTGTGATAAGTTTATCAAAACAAATTATTCGATATTAAATTCATTTTGATGTTTCGTTGTCTAAAGGTGACTCAATGAGGTGTGTTGACTGGGTTGATCCAGATCTATTAGCCATTCATGAAATTGAAGCAATGACAAAATAGGCTGATTATGTTGGGGTTAGTGCATGTTGGTACAGAGTATGAGGATTATAGAAAAGGATAAGGATTTGCTTTCAGGGTTGGAATGGATTCTAACTTATATGTTCCGTTTATATGTTTCGTTTGTTAGAAAGGATAAAAAATAAAGAAGATAAAAAATAAGAGAAATATATTTTTTATCTTTCAAAAAAGAAAAGTAGGAAGAATACATTTTTTTTTAATGTTTGGTAGGATGAATAGAAAATCAAAATTACAATTTTTTTTTTTTGGTACTAACTAACATTAGGGGCGACAATCGAGTTGTATCGTATTAAATTCATGTTGAGTCATTACGAGTTTGTGTCGAACATTAGTCAAACATAACTCAACTCATTTAACTAATTGTGTCATGTCGAGTTGCAAATTGATATATTTATTTTTCGTGTCGTGTTCGTGTTTCTATCCGTGTTGACTCACATAAATTTTGAATAAAAAATTTAACGCTAATATTTTATTTTCACTTTATTGAATCCATGTTAATATTTTTTCTATAAACTAAAAATTAACTTAAATAAATATAATAATAATAATAAATAAAAACATTTTTTAATATAATAATTATTTCAGTGTTTAATAAATAGTCNTGACCCACATAAATTTTGAATAAAAAATTTAACGCTAATATTTTATTTTCACTTTATTGAATCCATGTTAATATTTTTTCTATAAACTAAAAATTAACTTAAATAAATATAATAATAATAATAAATAAAAATATCTTTTTAATATAATAATTATGTCAGTGTTTAATAAATAGTACAAATAATTAATATTTTATGTCTCTAATACTAGTTAAACATGTTAATTTTGTGTTAATTTCATGTTACCATACAAACGATAAAATAGAAAAAGTGTTTATTTTTAAATAAACGGGTTGATGGTGTCAATTTTGAGTTTTATTGATTGAACTGAATATGAGTTTTTTATATTTTATATTCGCGTGTTAAGTCATTTTTAAATTCGTGTCGAGTAATAATCAAATTCGTGTCATAAAATNTCTAATACTAGTTAAACATGTTAATTTTGTGTTAATTTCATGTTACCATACAAACGAGAAAATAGAAAAAGTGTTTATTTTTAAATAAACGGATTGATGGTATCAATTTTGAGTTTTATTGATTGAACTGAATATGAGTTTTTTATATTTTTTATTCGCGTGTTAGGTCATTTTTAAATTCGTATCGAGTAATAATCAAATTCGTGTCATAAAACTTGTGTCGAGTTCGATTCGTGTCATTATGTTCAGTCGAAAATTTTCACTCCTAACTAAGATGAAAAAAATATTTTTTTTAATTTAAAATTTTAATTTAATTTAATTTTAATTTTAAAAATTTGTAAAAATATATATATAAATACTTATTTTATCATTGTATTTTTATATGAAATTAATGTATACATAATATATGTATATATCAAAAGATATATAGACAAATAAAATACATCTCAACACAATAATTAACTTTCTATTTATTTTCCTTCCGATTTTGGAGAGATTGATTTTGATGAGTTGGAAAGAAAGTTAATCCATCAATTTTTCCATCATTCCTATTTACATTCCTTACCAAACATGATATTTTGTTTATCCTTCCAACTTTTCATAATTCCAAATTTCTATCCGTCTAACTTTTTATCATACCAAGCGAAACAATAGAGTAATTAAAGTGTATTTAGAGCATAAAAAGCAGATAGATATAGATGTGCAAATGACAGATGCTCAGGTGGATGACACAAGTANAAAGTTAATCCATCAATTTTTCCATCATTCCTATTTACATTCCTTACCAAACATGATGTTTTGTTTATCCTTCCAACTTTTCATAATTCCAAATTTCTATCCTTCTAACTTTTTATCATACCAAGCAAAACAATAGAGTAATTAAAGTGTATTTAGAGCATCAAAAGCAGATAGATATAGATGTGCAAATGACAGATGCTCAGGTGGATGACACAAGTGTGAATGGTGATGAAGAGAACAGAGATCCAAATGATTCAGACTTTGGTTATGATACTGATTATCAAATTCATTACCAGACAAGTGATTACTAACATTATAGATGAGTAATGACAATTATAGGTGAGTACCACCGCCCTTATCCAAATCCTCCTCTCCATTTGAATAGAACCTTAACCAAATTATAGCACAACAAATAAATACTCAATGTCAACCACAAAATTTCTTTATTCTCCTCACCCATCAATCTGCGCCAGTGGTTTGTCGCTTCGGATTGCAAGAGTGGCTCTTCGAGTCTTTTTAAAAAGGCCACGCACATTGGTGTGTCTTGCCACATGAAAAAACCACACCTAATATTCTGCAAAAAATATCGGCTTTAAATTATTGGGAAGTTACAGAAAGTTTAAAAATGATACTAATGAGATAAAATATGAACCAACCATACTATTCAGACATGTCAAGAACCTCTGTCGTGGATTTTGATTCGTCTTTGATGTCATCTTTGCAGAAATCTCCCCATANCAGAAAGTTTAAAAATGATACTAATGAGATAAAATATGAACCAACCATACTATTCAGGCATGTCAAGAACCTCTGTCGTGGATTTTGATTCGTCTTTGATGTCATCTTTGCAGAAATCTCCCCATAGTCACAGTACACCATATGCTTTGTAGCTCTTTGTTTCCCTTTCTTCTCGGTTAATTGAGCCCTCAACTGATGCTCTGTGTTTTTTTTTTTTTTTTTTTGCAGTCCACTGGAATAGGCACATGAAGCATTGGGAGGGAATTTTGGAGTCGAAGACTTTCTTTTCCAATAGCTGCCCCTACACTGTCACATGCACTGCACATTCAGCGACGAAAAGTCCTAGACGGTACCTCACAAAAAGGCCAGATTACTACAAATCGTGTAGTTGGAGGACTCAATTGATGCAAAATTGAGTTTAGGGACTGAATTGATATAAAAACTATAGTTTACGGGCTACATATGTAATTTACTCAAAAGTATTTTATGATTAAATACATCAGTCTACTAGTGTAACATATATTTTTCTTTTTAGCTTTTTACGTTTTTCAAACACGAAGAAATAAAAGCATAAGGCTAGTCCACTAGGCAAGGCCAGAGAAAATAGCCTAATGGTTGGAAAGTTGGCCCAGCCGGACCCAAACCCCATTGCCACACACACATGAACCCAAATTCAATCCCACCATTGAAACCACCACAACCACAACCACCTCCACCAAAATTACCCCTTGCACTCCTTTGCCTCCACCGTGGTCGAACACATTACCACCAATTGGATCTCCGTGCCATCTGGTAAATTGTCAGGAACTATTGTTTTACCTTCAAGAAAATGTAAGAGATGCAATTGTATTTTCATCTTTTGTGCATTATGACATAACGGCAAAAAAAGCTTTTAAGGAAAATAAAGCAAACGAAAGTATTTATAGATTCATACATGGAAGCAAAATGCTTGGTAGTTCATTGTACTAGTGCTGAAATATATAAATACTTACAATAATTTTATTTATACTTAATTTGGGAATCGAATAACTTATGGAAAATAATTGAGGACCTAATGTATGACTACTATTAGATCGATAGTAGATATTATTCAATTTTGGGCTTAGTTATACAATTCACCACTACACCATCATGCGCCGACGCTCGGACTGTTAATTTATGGATTAAGAGCAAAGTTGGAATACATTTACGCTCTCGATCCACTAAAAAAATTTGGGAGAATTACACCTAGATTCCTTGAGACTTGTCGCTTAATCACTCAGATTCTCTAACATTAGAAATATTACACACAAATTCCAGAGATTTGTATGTTCGTAACACTTAGACTCCTGCCTTCAAATGTCCGTTAGTAAATTATACTCAGATCTTCTGAAGTTTATAACATGTAATACTTAGATCTCTCAAGTTTAAAATATTATACTTAGACCAAAAATACTCTAATCAAATATAGAATATCAAATATTTTAAATTTTATAACCAAAATTTATGTTCTATTGTATTATTTATTAAAATAAAATCAAAAATAAAAAGTAAAATTGTAATTGACACAATATATTCTAGCATTAATGAGGGTAATTTGATAGTTTAAACGATTAAATTAAATTTCAATAGATAATATAATTGTATACTAATTATGACTTTTTAAAAAAAATTTAAATTTTTATTTTTAATTTTATTTCAATAAATGTCATAATAAAACATGAATTTTGGTTATAAAATTTAAAATATTTGATATTTTATTTTTGATTAGAGTATTTTTTGTCTAAGTATTACATTTTAAACTTGAACAATCTAAGCATTACATGCCTACAAATTTCAAGAGATCTAAATGTAATTTACTAACTAATATTGACAACAAAGGTCTAAACGTTATAAACTTTAAAAAATCTGTGCTATATTTTAAATATCAAAAAATTTGAATAATTAAATTTCAAACCTCAAAAAATCTAAATATAATTCTCAATTAAAATTTTGAAATCTTAACTAAATTAAAAACTCAAAATTTCATATTAGGCCAACCCAAACACTAAAAGAAACTGTCTTCCATTGCTATATTCACATTAAAAAAAATGAAAATTGAGACTAGATCCTCTTAAGGAATTTATAATGAGTTGAGTCTGTTAAAGAAATTTTTTTGTTGATAAGTTTATTTTTTATCTTAATAATAAGTAGTTAAATCCACTATTTTTTTTAAAACTCTAAAATACCATTTTTATTATGTTTTAATAATATTAGACCTTAATTCTGTTTTTTAATTGGGAAACACTCAATTTCTTTACCCCTTAAATCTATCATTAATTCATGATTCACATTATTCTAGTTGTTCTCAAACAATTCTAAATTTTTTCTTTTCTACCATGAACGAAGATATTGCTACCAAAACTCTAACCGCTCTTTCCGTCCATACATCTCCGCCTCCGTCAGTGCACCTAGTTTCTCCACCACCGTCAACAATGATTACTCCCCCGAGTGAAACCCTAACCAAAACATTAATTCCTCCTACTCCTACGGTAGCAATAATAGTGGCAATTTTCACTTCTTATAAAGGATCGATCATTCAATGCTATAGTTTTTAATTGGTTGGTTGTCTATTTAATTGGTTGATCTGCCGAAGTTTTGATTTAGTTGATTTTGTATTTTTGTAAATAAGACGAAGTTATACTGGTACAATTTTTTTTTTCATGCTACTGTTTTTGTTTTATTGTGCTTGTACATGTTTTACTATCTTTTTTAATGTTACTATTTTTTTTATAAGCAAGTTACTGTTAATATTGAATGTTACTATTTTTTTGAAAATATCAGTATTCAATGTTATTATTTTTTTTTAAGTATGTTACTATTATTTTTTTTTTCAAATATTAATATACGGTGTTACTATTTTTTATTTTTTGAATGTTACTATGTTTTTGTGTTTAAATGGTACTATATTTTGTGTTTAAATTGTAATATTTTTTGTATTTGAATGTTACTATTTTTTATTTTTAATGTTAATATTAAATATTACTATTTTTTAAAAATATCAATATTCAATGTTAGGACATCTCCAATCTTTACTNTTTAATGTTAATATTAAATATTACTATTTTTTAAAAATATCAATATTCAATGTTAGGGTATCTCCAATCTTTACTTNATGTTACTATTTTTTATTTTTAATGTTAATATTAAATATTACTATTTTTTAAAAATATCAATATTCAATGTTAGGACATCTCCAATCTTTACTCAAATTTAGACTTAAATTTAAATTTGAGTAAAAAAGTCTAAAAAACTTGTTTTAACCCTTAACTCAAACTTATACCAAATCAAGAAAAATTCATTTTTTCACTAAAATCAAGAGAGACTCAAATCTTTACTCAAATTTTTAATTGTGAGATTTTACCATTTTTTAAAAATCTAATGGTCATCCTTACTCCCTTTTAAGTTTAAGTTTGCTCTCATTTAAATTTGAATCTTTCTTTTAAATTTGAGTTTGTCTATTAAAATTTTTATATTAAATCAAACTTTTTACTCAAATGTTAATTTAAATTTGAGTAAAAATTTGAGTTATTGTTGAAGATAGTCTTCCTATATTTTATTGAGATAAAATATTACTATGTTTTGTATTTAAATAATATTATTTTTTGTGTTTCAAAATTTTTTTTTTATATTATATATAATCCTGACTTATATATGGATCTAACCTATATATAAATATACATAACTATGAGAAAAAAAATTTTAATATAAAAATTTTACAAATAATATATATGGATCTAACCTATATATAAATATACACAAATATGAGAAGAAGAAAAATTTAATATAAAAATTTTACAATTAAATTTTTTCAATCTACTTAAATCCAAATAAGTTCAAACAAAAAAAACTGGCCTTCAAATTTTCCTAAGAAAGTAATAAAGACACTCAGTTACGCATGAGCCTCTCACCTGCAAATACAAACAAAGATGGTAACCAATAGACTTGCTCATTCTTAGTTCAAAATTTGGCCACAATGTGATAGGGCATAGGGAAGGGTATCAAATCTTATGGTACCTCCTTTCTAATAGTCTTAGCTTTTAAATTTTTTGATTATTCAACAACCAGGTAGGATGAATTTAAATGATAATACAACAGTAGAGGCATAATCTATTCATGCAAATCCTTTTATGTCATGTAAAAGGTATAAGATATTTTATCACATATAGATTTATGACATTGTTCATTAAATCGAGATGGGTTCAATTGGGTCCAAAAAACCCGAATGCCAATCCAAATACTAACCCGATTTAAATTGGGTTGGAAATGTTTCACTCAAGCCCAATAGACCTCTTCTTTTTTCACTAGGTTGGGCTCACCCCTTAAAAAAAAAATTTTTTCACTCCATTTAATCTTCTTATTTTAAACTATTAAATACACATTATCTGTACTCATCTTATTTGTTATTAAGNGATGGGTTCAATTGGGTCCAAAAAACCCGAATGCCAATCCAAATACTAACCCGATTTAAATTGGGTTGGAAATGTTTCACTCAAGCCCAATAGACCTCTTCTTTTTTCACTAGGTTGGGCTCACCCCTTAAAAATTTTTTTTTTTCACTCCATTTAATCCTCTTACTTTAAACTATTAAATACACATTATCTGTACTCATCTTATTTGTTATTAAGTTCACCTCATTTATATATATTCAATTAAACTATTAAACATATTTCAAAGAAACCAAAACAAAAATAATAATTAAAGCGAAATTTTAACGTTCCGATGTAATCTATATTATTTAGAGCTGTTTTGAAATATTTTGATATATTTTCATCAATGTCTTTAGAATATTTTGAAGTATTTTAAGATATTTTGGTATATTTTGATTAATATTTTAAATATAATTATTAATTTTNAACATATTTCAAAGAAACCAAAACAAAAATAATAATTAAAGCGAAATTTTAACGTTCCGATGTAATCTATATTATTTAGAGCTATTTTGAAATATTTTGATATATTTTCATCAATGTCTTTAGAATATTTTGAAATATTTTGGTATATTTTGATTAATATTTTAAAAATAANGTCTTTAGAATATTTTGAAGTATTTTAAGATATTTTGGTATATTTTGATTAATATTTTAAATATAATTATTAATTTTTTATTAATTTTATTCTATTTTTGAAATATTTTTATGCCGAAATAAGACACTAAAATGAAATTTTGATCATTACCTATATAATACGTTGAAATAAAATTGAATGAATTTATTTTTTAATTAGTGAATGTAGATGGGTGAGTTTAAGAACTAATGGGTTGGGCATAGAAGGGGTAAATTTAGTAGTTTAAAGGAAGAATGTTAAATGGAACGAAAAATGAAATTTAAGGGATGAGAATAGTCTCACCCAATTTACTTTCATCACACAAAAAATTTACATGCCTAGGACATTAACTTTGTCAAATATATAATCATTATGAGTAGTCCAGTAGTTAAGTTTGATTTTTGATAACTCANAAATGAAATTTAAGGGATGAGAATAGTCTCACCCAATTTACTTTCATCACACAAAAATTTACATGCCTAGGACATTAACTTTGTCAAATATATAATCATTATGAGTAGTCCAGTAATTAAGTTTGATTTTTGGTAACTCGAATGTCTTATATTCAATATCTTTTCACACCTCTTAAGGACTAATTATTCATGTCTCTTTAAAGATATACTCTAATTTCTCTCAAACTATTGTAACCGAGCTCAAAAGAATAGTTGACACAAATCTAAATAAAAAAAAAAATTAACCAACTATATTTACCCACAAAAATTAATAAAAAAAAAAGAAGAAACTTTACCAATCATATCAAATCACAAACTCCACCAAATATTTTATACATGCCTCCATACTGCCCTCTTTAGTGTTATGGTTCTTGCAAATCCAAGTTCAAATGATGTTTGTGGCCTTAGACTTCTATAGGACTCGAGAATCATACATTGGCCATGGTCTTATCCTCACACCTGCCACTGTCTTTGCCTTGAATCTCCTTCACCCAATCCCCAATCCACTCATCACCCAAAAAATCCCAACTCTCCCACTGTTTTTTTCTGGCCTCACTGATACTATATTGCCTCACATTTATCATCAGAACCTCTCTCTCTCTCTCTCTCTCTCTCTCTCTCTTCAGCATCACAACCATGGCTACTGCAGTGAGCGCTGCAGTCTCTCTTCCATCCGCGAATTCTTCTTCTCTTCCAACCAGAACCTCCATCATCTCACCAGAAAGAATCAACTTCAACAAGGTCTATGGGAATTTTTTTTCATATCTTTAGTTGTCATTTTTGCTATTTTCTTGGAGTTTCTGACATTTTTTTGATTATGCAGGTCCCTTTGTACTACAGAAATGTGTCAGCTGGTGGGAAATTGGTCTCCATCAGAGCCCAGGTCACAACAGAAGCTCCTGCCAAGGTTGAGAAGGTCTCTAAGAAAATGGACGAAGGTGTGGTTGTGAACAAGTACAGGCCTAAGGACCCATACATCGGAAGATGCCTTCTCAACACTAAGATCACTGGTGATGATGCTCCTGGAGAAACATGGCACATGGTCTTCAGCACTGAAGGTATGGTCTTGAATTTCTTATTGATTTTCCATAAAAAAAAAATTAAAATTATTTTGTTGGGTTTTCAATAACCACAATAGATTTTAATTTTCATATCAGAATTGGATATTTCTGAGTTTCTTTTTTAATTGGATTGATTAGGAGAGGTCCCCTACAGAGAGGGGCAATCCATTGGTGTTATTGCTGATGGTATTGACAAGAATGGTAAGCCTCACAAGCTGAGGTTGTACTCAATAGCTAGCAGTGCCCTTGGTGACTTTGGAGACTCCAAAACTGTAGGCTTTTGGTTCCTGGCTAATTTGATCTGTGAAGTTAAAATTGATCTTTGTGTAGTAACTATTTCTGTCTGCATGATTTCTGGCTAATTTGATCTGTCAAGCTAAAATTGATACTATTCCTGTCTTGTTATATATGATTTCCGCAGGTTTCCTTGTGTGTGAAAAGGCTTGTATACACTAATGATGAAGGGGTGGTAGTTAAGGGAGTTTGCTCAAATTTCCTGTGTAAGAATGCAGAATTCTCTGATTCAAATAAAATTATGTTCTACTTTTTTTTTTTTTCAATTGCAATTCGGCTCATCTTGCTGGAATCAAACAGTTCTGATGTGAAGATATTGTCCCCAAGGTAGTAAAACAAGCTGCTGGATGTTAAGAAACTTTTCGGAGAAAAATTATACTTTGGCCCCTCAACTATGACTTGGGTCTCACTTTTGCTCTTAAACTACTGGGTTCTCACATTTCCCCCTCAATTATTTGAATTGGCTTTAGATTGCCACAAAATTTGGTGTCTGTCATGTTTTGCATCCAAAATGTAGACATGTATAATAAGGTACATGTTTTTAATTTTCGAAATTAATGTAATGTGAAAACAATAATCATAGTTAGAGGTGCAATGTAAGAAATGTAATAGTTGAGAGAGTAATGTGAGATCAGTAACCATAGATGGATGTGTAATGTAAGAAACATGATAGTTGAGGGGGCAATGCAAGAGAGAGAGGGGCGGACTTGATGGGCCGCACTTCCAAACGTGATCGTTGGATGTTATGCATTTCAGGTGACTTGAAGCCTGGAGCTGAAGTGATGATTACTGGACCTGTCGGAAAAGAAATGCTTATGCCAAAGGATCCTAGTGCCACCATTGTGATGGTGTGTTTTGTCTACTAAGGATTCACCAGTCGATTGCCTTACTAAAATTCTGTATGTTTTTATTCTTGTTTCAGTTGAGTTCAGTACTAATAAACATGTTATAATTGGGATTCTTATTTCAGCTTGCAACTGGAACTGGAATCGCCCCTTTTCGCGCATTTTTATGGAAAATGTTCTTTGAGAAGCATGAAGACTATAAGGTACGTTGATCATGAGTTGCACAATGAAGATATAAAAGAAAAAGGCCTAATCTTGTGACAAACACAATAAATTAAAAAACATTTGAACAAGGTAAACTTATAATCTTATACATCTCGTGGGTGATTATTTAAAAATCGGAACAAGGACTATGTCCTATGTTGCTAGGTAGAGTTTGTTCTACCATATTTGTTTTGTCTATAAAAAATTAATGGATGATATCGACACCATTGACCCTGCTTGTTAAACAACTTTCTTCCAATTGCAGTTCAATGGCTTGGCATGGCTGTTCTTGGGTGTTCCCACAAGCAGTTCACTTCTCTATAAGGAGGTGAGACAGATTTCCTCAACTTACTGCATTATTAATCGAAAAATTCCCCTCAATCAAATACTATTGATGGCTGAACCTATCGAACATAAACACAGGAATTCGAGAAGATGAAGGAGAAGAACCCAGATAACTTCAGACTTGACTTTGCAGTGAGCAGAGAGCAAACCAATGACAAAGGCGAAAAGATGTACATCCAAACCCGAATGGCTCAATATGCAGAAGAGCTATGGGAATTACTCAAAAAGGATAACACCTATGTCTATATGTGTGGGCTTAAGGGAATGGAAAAGGGAATTGATGACATTATGCTGTCCTTGGCAGCTCGAGAGGGTAAGAAATATCGACATAGTTCTATCATTTTGCTGACACTTTATGCTAGATGATATAACACACACACAAAAAAACATACACACATTGGCTCTCTAATTTATTTTTCTTGTTTTTCAGGCATTGACTGGCTACAGTATAAGAGGCAGTTGAAGAAGGCAGAGCAATGGAATGTGGAAGTCTATTAATGCTTTGCTTTCTTGTACAAATTATCTCCTATTCTTGAGGCAGGCATCCTCAAGTGATTTCCTCTGTATTGTTGTAGATAGGTAACTATTAACCTCCTTTGTTGCTTATGCTCTTTTTCTTTGTTTTCTTCCATTTTATTTTACTTATAAAACAGTTGTATTTTTATAGCCTCTCTAATAGTTTTACTATTTTTGAGGGCATGGTTCATAAAAATATAGTGCAAGTGAACTTTCAGCCTCCTTTTGTCAATTCCTGGCATTATTTTCCCATTTATCCATTCAGTTGTTTATTATTAAATGATGAAATCACGTGTTTAGATATATTGTATCACCGTTCTATTGGATATCTACTTGTGTGTTGGTGTCTGTTAATACAAGCAGCAACCCACAAAAGACTGCTAGTAGATGGGATAGACAATACCCACAAGTAATTTACAATGGTATATAAAAACTCTCAAGTATAAAGGTTCTGTTTGGAGAGATTGTCATTCGCATTGGAAAAAGCTGGTTTGTTTGAGTAGATGGACTAGTGTGTTAAACAATTTAATAAAAGAGAAATACAAGAGATAGGAAAAGAGAAAAGAGGAGGCTAAGATTTTATTGATATTGCATAATTTAATTGAATACAAAGAAGTGATTTAACTTAAATATAAAGAGATTATATATAGGCTAAACAAAGAGAAAGTAAAGGACTATTCTACCCTTAATAAACAAAATAACCAATAACCCTATATTTCTTAACATCTCCCCTCAAACTCACGATGCAGCAGCTAAAAGTATCGAGAGTTTGTCAATTAGAAAACGAAAATGGGAAATAGATTGCGACTTGGTAAAGAAATCTGCAATCTACAAAGAAGAAGAAACAAAGGGCAAAGTAATGGTGCCATATTTGAGATGATGACGAGTAAGGTCACAATCGATCTCAATGTGCTTAGTTTGTTCATGAAAAATCAAGTTGTGAGCAATATGAATAGAACTTTGGTTATCACAATATATAGGAGTGGGATGAGAAAGAGAAACTCTCATATCTGCAAGTAACCAACGTAACCAAACAATCTCTTTGGTAGTAGATGTCATAGCACGATATTCTATTTCGATTGAAGATTGAGAAACAATAGATTGTTTCTTGTTCTTTCAAGAAATAAGAGAATTACCCAAAAAGATATAGAAACTAGTAACAGACTTGCGATCTGTGGGATCACTGTCATGATCAGCATCAGAGTATGCACACAGCTCCAAAGAAGAGGTGGATGGAAGTAAAAGACTCTGAAAGACTGTACCCCGAAGATACCGTAAAATACGAAAGACAGCTGCCCAATGAACTGTAGTAGGAGAAGCAACAAACTGACTAACAACATTAACAACATATGCAATATCTGGACGAGTAATAGTGAGATATCCCAGCTCCCAACGATAGTACCGTATAAAGTAGGATCTGACAAAGGTAAACCATCAGAAGAAGAATACTTTGCGTTAACCTCAATGGGAGTATCTACAATCTTATTATCAGTAAGTTTAACTCGCTCAAGAATATCTGCAACATATTTCAACTGAGAAAGAAGATAACCTCTAGGTGAACAGGCAACCTCAATACCCAAGAAATATCGTAGAGAACCCAAATCCTTCATTTCAAATTGTCTAGCTAACTCTGTCTTTAAAACTGAAATACCGTTAATATCATCATCATCAGTAATAATCATGTCATCAACATATAAAAACAGAATGATACGACCTGCATCAGTGCACTTAACAAAAAGAGCAGATTCATGACTACTAGAAGCAAATCCAAAGAAGAGATCACAATAGAAAATTTCTCAAACCAAGCACGAGTGCTTGTTTGAGACCATATAACGTTTTCTTGAACTTGCAAACATACCCAAAATCATGTGAAATACTAAGAGGGGGCGTCATATAAACTTCTTCTTGAAGATCTCCATTTAAGAAAACATTTTTAACATCAAGTTGAGAGATATGCCACTGACGAACCGAAACAATTGCAATAAGAGTACGAATAGTAGTCATTTTTGCAACAGGAGCAAATGTCTCCTCATAATCCATATCATACTATTGAGAGTACCCTTTTGCAACCAACCTAACTTTGTATCGCTCAACAGATCTATCAGAATTAATCTTAATCTTATACACCCAACAACAACCAACAACACTCTTACCAGGAGGTAGAGGAACCAAATTCCAAGTACCTGTCTTTTGCAAAACAGAAAGTTCCTCATCCATAGTTTGTTGCCAAAGAGGATCAAGAATTGTCTCTTTATAGGAAGAGGGCTCAGAGAGACAATGAATAGAAGCTAAAAAAGAAGTAAAAGATGAAGAATAACAAAAATAAGCAAAATTTGGTTACTTTGTGGACTTACGAATGCGTATGGATTGACGTAGAGGTGGATCCACAATCTCAGATAGAGCTTGAGAGAACATAGGAGAAGAGGTAGCTTCAAGTGTGCCAGAGAGTAAAGTGTCAGTACCTGCAGAATGATCAGTACGAATTGGTCGAGTATAATGTAAAGGTAACGGGGTAAGAACATAAGAAGGGGTATTTGAAGTACTAGAAATCTGAGATGACAAACTATCAAAATCCTCAGAAAAAGGATCTATACGAATAAGATCAGATATAGTTAAGCTATGAGTGGTGGATGGAATAGAAAAGAAAGGTATATGCTCGAGAAAATAACATGACGAGACACATAAAGTTTCTGAGTTATTGGATCAAAATAACGATACCCCTTTTTACCTTCATCATAACCAAGAAAGACATAAATAGCAGATTGAGAGGACAACTTGCTGCGTTCAACATAAGGACAAAGAAGGAAACAAATACAACCAAAAACTCTAAAGGAAGAATAATCAGGGGCATACCCATATAACTTTTCGAAAGAAGAAACACCTAAAATATGAGAAGATGAAATTGTATTAATCAAACCTACAGCAGTAAGAACAACTTCACCCCAAAACTCACTAGGAACAGAAACAGACAACAAGAGAGAACAAGCAGTTTCAACAATGTGTCTATGTTTTCTTTCAACAACACCATTTTGCTCAAGAGTATATGTACACGAATTTTGATGAATAGTTCAATCTAAGGCAAGCAACTCATCACATTTATTAGAAGTGTAATCCCCACCCAAATCATACCTAAAACATTTGATAACAGTAGAATATTGAGTTTTGACAAGAGTTCGAAAGGCTGTATATATCTCAAAGAATTCATAATGATGTTTCATTAAATAAATCCAACAATAACGCGTATGATCATCAATAAAAGAAACATAATATCGAGACCCTCCTTTTGTGGCAACAGAAGAAGATCCCCCATACATCAAAATGAATCAAATCAAATGGAGAAGAAGAAATAGAAATACTTCGATTAAAAGGTAAAGCTGAAAATTTTGTCAGTTTACATCCACTACAATCAGAAATATCACAAGTTTACAAATTTCCTAAAGCCCCTGTGGATGCCAAAAATCTCAAACGAGAAGACGAAACATGACCTAGACGAGAATGTCATAAATAAAAACTAGAAGAAAAAGGACTTAAAAGAAAAGAAGATAAATCAACACTAGTAGTAGCAGCAACTAGCACTTTTAACTCATCCAAAATATATAGTCCCCCCTTCCTACAACCTGTCCCAATCAGCTTCTGAGACTACAGATCCTGCACATAACAAGAAGAAGAGGAAAAGGTGATTAAGTTACCAGAATCACATAACTGACCATCAGAAGCAAGATTTAATGTGAGTTTTGGAATATGATAAACATTAGGAAGAGACAAATGAAGTGTGACAATAGAACCAACACCTGCTAAAGGCATAGGAGTGTCATCAGTAATCATAACAGGAATAGAAGATGAAGGAAATACAGAAGCAAAAGATGAAAAATCTGGAGACATATGATGTAAAACACCAGAATCCAAGACCCATACAGAATGTGACATACCTGAAGAACTATGAGACAACTGACCTACGAAAGAAGAAACAGACATAGCTTGTGGCTGTAAAGAGAGAAACTTCTGAAATTACTCAGCCAAAGTACTATAATCAGTGAAAGGACTTGATGAAGCCACTGCTGCAGTATTAGACTGTGGTGGTTTGTAACCTTGAGGTGGTCTATGAGCATTAAATTGTGACTACTTGCCAGGCTTCCAAACTTGAGATTACTGCTGCGATTGATTTTGTTGTCTTAATTTAGGACATTGAGTCTTCTAATGACCTTTTTGCTTACAGAAACTGCACTCGTCGAAGACAGTCCTTGTGTAAGGCTTATTCTGATTATTAGAGAATGATTTAGAAGGTACTGCTAGCACAGAATGATTAGAAGTAGAAAGAATTCCCTTTTCAGAATAAGATTTAAGGCGTATTTCTTCAGTCAATAACTCACTGACAACTAACTCAACAGAAGGAAGTAGAGAACGATGCAAAATTGAACCTCGAAGTCCTTCAAAATCACTACAAAGTGCCGTTAAAATTGTACCAACCGTTGCTGCTATTTACGAGCAATATAGACACCACATACCTTTAATTCGGTCGATTCTGTAAGAGCCAATTGATCCCAAAGATCTGTCATAGCAGAATAAAACTTTTGAATACTCATATTCTTCTGTTGAAGAGCTCGTATGTCATTCTTCAATTGATACTGCTTTACAAAATTTGATTGAGTGAATAATTTTTGCAGATGATCTCAAACCTCCTTTGCTGTCTGATACTTTGCCAACTGTGCACCTATAAAATGCTCAACAGAATTGTTAATTCAAGTAATAATTTTTTCATTGTCTGCTTCCCAGGCATCTATCAAAGCAACATAACCCGCATTAGTATTCTTAGGTTTCACAGAAGTTCCACTAACATATCCCCACATTTTTTTACCCTTAAGAAAATTTTTCATCACATAACTCCAATACAAATAATTATTTTCATCCAACCTCACACTCACAGACTGAAGCGAATCGTCTCTTTTATTAGCCATAATCAAAAAACAAAAAAAATCAGATTGCAAACAATCTAATAAAAAGAGAAATACAAGAGATAAGAAAAGAGGAGGTTTAAGTTTTATTGATACTGCATAATTCAATTAAATACAAAAAAAGTGATTTAACCTAAATATAAAAAAACTATATATAGGATAAACAAAGAGAAAGTAAATGACTATTCTACCCTTAATAAACAAAATAATTAATAACCCTATATTTCTTAACACCAGGGTTCCATCCATGACTTACAAAACTGAAAAATACGTTAAGAGGACCCATCCATGGCTCACAAGACAGGGTGTCGGGTGACTCTTCGACG